TTTTTTTACCGTATTTAATTTTGGGTATTGACTCGTTACATATATTTTGAATGTTATTTGTTAATTTAATTATATTTTCTTCTATATCATTTACATTTTCTATTTTTAAGTTTCCATTAAAATAATTACTTTCGTTTGATAATTTTTCAAATAAATCCCAATTAGCTTTTTTTGTCGAATATCTATTTTTATTATTTTCTACAATAATTTTATCTTGTTTTCCGAAATTTATATTAAATGTAATGACATTATGATCGCTAACTGTTAAATTTTCATGAACTTTCCAATAAAAATTTTATCCATTAAATTATTTGTAATTAAAGTTGTCAACATTTGTTAATCCATTTCCTATGTATGTGTGTGGATTATTAGGTTTATTTGAAATTATTAAATTATTTTCTGCTATGAATTGTTCCACTTTTTTTCCTTTTTTATCTGTAATATTATTAAACCACATTGTAGATTTTGAATTTGAATCCATACTTATTATTAATCTAGGATTTCCTAAAATTTTTAATTTTATTCAATTTCTTCAATATATTTTTCAATTTCTTCAGAAAATTGTACATAAGAATTTATAATCGTTATCCAGCCTAAACCATTTGTAATTTTTATAACAACAGTATGTGTAGTAAAAAAATGTTCCAATTTAATTATTTCCAAATCATTATTTAAAACAAATATAACTGACATTTTCTCCTCGTCAATCTTACCACCAGTTATTATCTTAGAATTTGGAAAACCAATTATTTTATTTTTAAAATTATAAGGTTCCTGTATTAATAAAATATCTAATTTTTTATCGTTTGAAATTTGAAATAATTCACCTGCTACTGTTTTCGAATGCTGTGAATTTATCTGTAAAAATGTTATTGGTTTCTTAAAATTTTTATTATTATTTTTAAATTCGATAATTTGTCCTTTTTATCGATTGATCCACCATAACTTTGTAAATCGGGCACTCTTCACTTCTTACATTATGATCATGTTGTTTTCCATAATTTTTACAATTTGCACATATAATTTTTTCTGATTTACATTCCTGAAAACTATGTCCTTTTTCAGCACATTTACCACAAACGTTTTCACTATTTTTACAATATTTTGCTGGATGCCCAAAACTCTGACATTTGTAACATCTTGTTACACTAATATGATTTTGTATTCTACGCCTATTCCAAAAAATATACATTTTTTCTAAATTTAAAAGTTCACTAGTCAAATTTTGTTTTATAAGGGCTTCTAATATTTTTTCTTCTTCTAAATCGATGTCTACGTCATATAAAATTAATTTTGGTCCACTTGTTTTAGGTATTCTTAAGTCTACTCCTTCCTCAATCAAATGTTTATTATTTTTTATTTTATCTAGATCATTTTTATTAACTGTTTCTATTAGTACTCCATTATTTTTTGTTTCTTTATTTTTTTAAATTTTTAATCCCTCTTTAGTTGGATCTATTAATTTGTTTATTTTCTCTTTAATTTTTGAACTACTTTTACCTTGAGCACTTAATATTATAACATTAGATGGTTGCCATTCTACTTTCTTTGTTATATTTGTATTAATTATTTTTTTATTGTGACTATAATGTTTTGCTGCCATATCTGCATATGTGCTTTTAACTTGCTCTTTATCTATTGCAATATTTTTTATTTCTTCAATTTGTTTAAACATTACATCCTCATAAACTTTATTATTATTATCATATGTTTGAACTACTCCCTCTAAATAAGTTAATTTTTGTAATACTGTATTAACTAATGTTTTAAGTTCATTCATTTTCTCTATTAAATTTTTAGATTATGTTTTATTAATTTTAGTATTAGTATTGAAAGTTAAATCCATAATATACTTACTTAGTTCCTCCATTTTATTTATGCCTTTTAAATTATTAACATTATTTATCTCATCACTCATCAGGTAACTCCCTACGCTTTCTTTCCTTTCGTTCTTTTTTTGTTTCTTTATTTTCCTCACCACTGTCTCTATTAACTTTCCTTTTCCTATTTGATTTGTCATTTGAAATATCAATTTCACTACATGAAGATAATGTACTTCCATGTCCTCAATACAATTGTCATTATCTTTGTCATTGTCATTGTCCCTTATATTGTTCACATAGTCCTTATCTAAGTCTTTAGTTTTGTCTTTAGGATTCATTTTAGTCTACGCAAAATGTAAATTAAAATCTTACCCTAATTTGGTAGGCAAATTCTTTTTCTCTTCAAAACTTTGGTGGCGTTTCAAAACTATATTCTTATAAAGGCTCCCTTGGTCCAAAATTGAATCAGACTTCAGCTGCCAGAACGTGCTATCTTGCGGGTTCACCCGTAATGGCTTCCCAAAATATCTCTCTGAATAATCCCTACCTACAACTAAGTAACGCATTTTCCAAAATTAAGACTACCATTAAATGCGCAACTTAGAATCGCAGTCGATCGCAACGCATCTAAACTTTTGGAAATTGTAGTAAAAACAGCAAATTTTTGCGAATAGAAAGTCTTTTAGGGCGTGCGATAGTTTACCAGATTCCCATGTTCCAATGTCTAGTGGTAATAGCTTAACACATGACAAAGGTAGATTTGATCTGTACTGATATTTTTCTTGTCAATAAACCGACTTTGCGGTTCAATGGTAGAGCGCTGGACTATATATCCGTTGGTCTGGTGTTCGAACCTGGGTTGAGGTGAATTTTTCACCTGTGGCAGAGATGGGAATTACCTTAGACCAGTTTCGAGCATTCTGCCGGCTATTCCGAATTAGGTTTTCCTGCAGTTTTCCTAATTCGTAAGGTAAATACTGGAGTAGTATAGAACTACTTAAGACCTTCTGCAGAGGCACCTCTAAAAAGCATTATGCGGGTCACTCTGTAATTGGACGCAAGCCTGTCGAGGTCCCAGAACAAGAAACAAGAGAAGGATAATAAATAAATAAATAAATAAACAAATAAATAAATAAATAAATAAATAAATAAATGAATAAATAAATAAATAAATAAATAAATAAATAAATAAATAAATAAATAAATAAATACATAAATCAATAAAAAATACTACGAGAACCTCTATTCTTGGACACTTAGCATCGCACTCAATTGCCACAAGTTCATCGATCTTAGTGTTATAGTAAGGGCGATCCGGGCGCACTTTGACCATGCGCCAACTCCAAAGACATTTTAACTACTGCGCATGCGCCAAGTCAATATTACTAAATGTCATAGTGGTTGTTGTCAAAACTCCTCTGCTCTCCACAACAACGTACTTAACACTATCACAATCAATAATCAACCATGCGATAGAATTATATTTTAATTTAAACATGAACCACCCGTTGGACCATCAGTTGATTTTTTGAATCAACTATACATTGTTTTGTGTGCCCTTTAATTCAACTTCAATTGTGTCCCCTGTTTAACCTTCAACTTTGTCCTTTCGTCTTCAATTCTCCCCTCTATTTCACCTTCAAATTTGATCTTCAGTGACGTTCAGGAATGAGCCTGAGTGTACGACCTTCAGTTGCATCCATTTCAGGTAGGAACCTGAATTCTGCCTACTATTTCACCTTCAGTTTTTCCCTCTATATCACCGTCAATTCTGCTCTCTATTTCACTTTCACGTTCGCTCTTCAGTGACAGCCGCGTCTACGTTTGATCTTCAGTGATATTGGTACAGGCAAGAACCCTAGTTAGTTTTGACAACAACCACAATGACTGTCAGTGACATTAGTTCAGGCAAGAACCATGGTTTGTTTTGACAACAGCCACGATAACCATCAGTGATATTCATTTGGTCCATGCGCAGTAGTTTAAATGACCTTGGCGTTGGTGCATGCGCAAAGCTCAAGATCATAGTGCGCCCAGATCGGCCTTACTATACTACTCATTTTATTAATGTAATTTTCCTCCAAAAAAGACAATGCTGGTTGCTGACCTCTCCAGATTGAGGGCTTACATAACCAATGTACTTAGATGTAGGGGGCTGAATTAAAACGAATAGTGGGGGTGTACATAGGTACAGTTTTTCGTTTACAATAATAGAAGTGCGCTCTTTCCACTTGTATGCCGTTTTTCTTCCTTCAGATAAGGCTAGGTTCCCATAATTAAAATTGGACACATGGGTGTAGGTGCGAATTTAAAGTAGGCGTCGAGGGGAAATTTTTTCAAAGCTGACCGGGAATTGCGTGGCACAGATTTCACTGAACATTCTATGAAAAGCAAGATTGTATATTTTAACGAGTGTAGAATTTTGAGTTATGACCCTAGCTCTATTGAAATTCGTTAAAAGTAGCGAATGGAAATCACGCGTGATCCAATTTCATTAATGAAGCACAATTTTAGGGCGGTAGTCAATTGAAAAAGATAGGTAGGGATTAATCCGGAGGAAATTTTTAAAAGCATTCGATCCAGCGATAAGCATTCGAGTTTTAGGTGTGGTAGAACCCAAGTATAATTTCTCGTTTTTACACGGAGAGCGTCACGTATTTGATGAAAGCAGTACAGTTTTTTTGAGCAATTTGGGCCGCATTTAAAACTCAAGCGAAAATCGGTTCTTCTAGGAGTCGCGAGTTAGTAATGACAGCATGGTTTTTCAAATGGGTGTAGTTAAGAAAAAGCGTGGCCACGATTTAGAATTAACAAAAAATGTTTGCTATTAAGGAACCTGCACAGGTTGTTCTTCACCATGTATAAGAATAAGAAATAGTCCATTTGCTTGCAATAGGACTGATAATGGAGCCCTAACATCGTAAATTGTCAGTAAGGCTTACTTCAGGTAATTACCATAGATGGCCGAGGTTAGGGGAGGCGATACTATTGCATTTATTCCAAAAAAGCCAATGCACAAGTACAAATCGTTCACTTTTTTATTCAACTTTTAATTGCAGTAATTCAGCATCGCCAGACCAATGGTGTGGTCCAAACCGTCTGTAATTACAAAACAATCGTATGCTAACAAAATAAATAAGCTCAACGATTGAGATGATAGAGAACCCCATAAATAACCCGAGCAAGCCTCCGCAGCTCGACAGGAAATCCATCAGGCCGTAAAGCTCCTGCCTCTCCGATGTGATAAATTGCAAATCTCTGAAGAAGATCTGAATCTTTGAGTATTCGTCGTTCCTGAAATTTTGAGGAGTGAGTTTCCGGCGTCCCCTCTCCTAACATTTACGTACAATTTCTTTCGTGTTCCGTTATGGTGCAATGTCCTCTCCATCCTTTTCCACCTCCATTCCGTTTGGGAGATTTCCGTCTCGTAACGTATCGAGCTGCAAGTTTGGCGGCAGTCGCATTTCTCCACGAAATTGGGCTCGTTGACATTATCCAAGATCTTTACGTTCTTGTTCACCAAAAATAGCGCTAAAATTGATCATTTAAAATTTGCACAATCGCCACATTCTCACCTGAGGCGTTTCTGACACACTCCCTTTTGGCACGACCACAGATCGGTGTCGAATTTATCCCTACAACAACAATTGGAATGAGACCCGTTTATAGGGGGGTTGTGGCTATTACGTGGCATTTCGAATGGGACGCACCCGCAACTATGCAACGTGTAGTTTGCGAGACACTCGTGGATGCAGTTGTTTTGATCGTACTTCTTGAAGAACTTCAGTTTCCTTTCCTCCATGAAGTAGCACTCCCGATTGTCTGGGTGGTAGCTTCTAAGTCGCTTCGAGGTCATCACCATAATCGGTTTGACTGACGCAACCAAGACCTGATTCAGTCCCACGCGAATGAAGTTTCCTTCCGTAAACGGAAATTGCGACGGGCTGTGGAGGATAATCTGGAAAGGAAATTTGTTCAATTCCCATAGACATAGAATGGAGAGAACTCCCTCCCAAGAGGAGAGAGGCTATGTCTGGACCTGCACCGACGGAACCCTACACATTAATGTTCAGGAGAAGTGACCGCCTCCAGGGCTTATTGGGTGCAGTTACGTTGTGACGGAGGGGGTTCAGTCTCGCTATTGACAGCCAAGGGGCAGCGGGATTACTACCGACACCTTTAGAGGCCAAGGAAGGCTCTTAAAGCATTTCTTTGTGAGTATATCCTCAAAATCTGGGTAATGGCGAAGGTTGACGGGGCCATCAGCCTACTATCGTTTTTTCTAAAAATGGGGAAGAAGCTGGTGGATGCATATATAAGGAATGCACTCCTTGTTCTTAGACCATTACATCCATTCCAACATGCTTACGGGTCTGGCATGCCCACGGAGGCAGCTCTCCACAGCCTCGCGTGCAGGCTGGAGAGTAGAATATTTGCTGGGGTCGTAGCCCAGGTAGCGTTTCTTGATATCAAGGGTGCGTTCCACATTCGATCCCACTAGTAAAGCTGCTGAAGGCTTTGGGTCAATCGTAAGATGAATCCGCGCTGTGCTCGGAAGAAGAGTGATTGTATCCTCACTCGGAACGAGGGAGATGAGGTCCTTGGTTACCAAAGGATGTCCGCAGGATGGAGTAGGTATTCAGTAATGGGCCTTTAGTGTTCACACAAAAAGGATACAGGATACAGCATACCTTGTAGCCTTGAAGAGCATCACTGCAAACATAATCGACGTTCTTTGATTCAACCCACAACGTCAGCTGAAGACCGCCCGCGATTCCGGGCACAAAAGTACGACGTGGCATCACGTCATTGTCATCCGTTGCACTGTATCCCCTCTCCAAGGTCCAATTGGAGCGCTTTTGGTGAGGTATACCGCGGTTCGTGTAATAATTGGTCCTGGAAAGACAGTTGATGGTACTACGAACCAATGAGACAGTACGGAAACTTACGCCACAATATCTTCGAAGACGTCTCTTCTATCTAGCAAATTGAAAGAGAGGCAAACGCCATCTGGTGACACTATGGGAGTAAACAAGGCGCGAATATCCTTAGTACAGCTTTTTCCAAACAGCACACATTCGCTGATGGCATGGTCAACGTTTGGCTTCACCTAGAGCAGATTGTGCACCATAAAATTGAGCAGGGTGACCTACATTAAAAAGAAACTCGTAAAAGTCCTCCGTTAAAAAATCCTCTTCCTCGCCGACCTCGTCCTCCCAGTCGTGCGAGCATATCTGGGAGATGTAGCTGAGATCCTGCCTCCTGAAAGGCTCCACTTACCGTTCTAAATCACCAAGTCTACTTTACCGTACTGTTGTCGACTCAGCTGTTCCCCACGTCTCACCATCAGCACCAAGTCAGTATAGTTAACAATACTCCTCTCCGCTCTTGCTTCAGGGCAAATGGTAACGGCCGGAAACGGAATGTCCCAAACCGGGGTTTCGGTGGTGGCGAACGAGACGACGACCGGAGACCTCTGCCACTTGTGGTAGGCTTGCAATATCGTACTGGCGCACAAAGTTATACAAACGATCAGGGTAGTCAGCCACAGGATTCTTTCAAAGATGTTGCGGTTTCTCTCGCCCAAAAACTTGAATCCGTGCACGCTGCAGTTGGAGCAGCACTCCGAGACGTACGAACGGCAGTTCTGTGCGAAAGTCGGGTGAGGTTTCTCCGTTTCATTCCTCATGGCGTATGCTGCAAATATGACGGGGGTTGAAATAGTGCCGCCTTAGGAATACAGGAAGCTATTAACTTAATTGGCACGTAGATCAATATCGTCGTATGTATTAAACCCAATTAGAGCGAAAACACTGGCGCTTCAAATTACAATAAACGACCACGATAATCAAATACATTATTATAACCGTCCATTTAGTCGGAACATTCGGATTTGGGCATCCATGCGATCAGCCAAGCTGACCACGAATGAGAGAGGCCAAGCTTATGTAAGGTTAGGGGGTGGGAGGTGGGACGAAATTTCATTTTTAATATTTTAAAAGAGCTTTAATTGAATTAATTAGCACGGAATTTAAGTGTTTAAGGTTTTTCCCGGTTCTTCAAGGATTAGGCCACTAGAAAAGGTGAAGGATGTGACATGGGATTTCTTTTGCGTGACAACGTTAGGTAGCGCCAAGTTGGGACGATAAGCCGACTTTAATGATGTACAGCTGAATTACATCCGGTCGTTAGTAAAGAAGCTACACAGCAAGGAAAAATAATGCTGATGTATAGGGGGGAACTGGTTGGTTCGAAGAAAGCCGAAAACTAATTCATTCGTTTTGAGCCGTCATAGAGCTCAAGTCGGACAATTGTCGTTTGAGCCTTTGCAGTCCAATTTCAAATTAAGATATTGATTTGTCAGTTTGTGCAATTTATCCGAAACAAGTAGAACCAATTCGATCAAAATAAAAATATATCCTACTCGCAATTGATACTTAAAACGTACCTAATTAATCTTTCTAGAAGTGTTAAAATTACGATTTTTGTCGGAAATTACTCTTTTTGCCAGTATACAGCACATTCCTTTATTGAGCTTCCATATGAGGAAACTTGTCCTTGATCTCACACCTGAATATCATCATTATCAACTTGATAAGCAACTTTTAAACGGTGACCAAACTGTGTGGAATTTGACTGAGCGGTAACTTTTGAACTTTACACTAACCTTTGGACTTTGAATGGCGGGGAATGAACTTTGACCGGTCGACAACCTTTAGACTTTACGCGAACCCTAGGAAATTTTGACCGCAAGCCAACCTTTAGACTTTGAACAGCTGGGAATGGACTTTGACCGATTTGACTGACAACCTTTAGACTTAGAACAGTGTGTAATGGGCTTTGACGTGTCGGCAACCGTTGGATTTTGAACAGTAAGGAATGAACTTTGACAGGTCGGCAATCTATGTACTTTAAACAGCGAATGACTTTGATCGATTGCTTGACCTACGTCCCAAGACCAGCGAAGATACCCCGGGCCAACTGCCGAAGTACTTCGGGCCAACTACCGAAATACCTCGGGTCAAACTCCCGAGCCAACTGCCGAAATATGGCACCTCAAACCAACTGCCGAAATATAATCCCACGCTCCGTGCCAATTGCCGAAATATGACCCCGCACTCCGGGCCAATTGCCAAAATTTGACCTTGCACCCCGGGCCAATTTCCAAAAGTTTACCCGGGCAAACTGTCGAAACATTTTCCAACGGTCCCCAGAGGGGGGGGGGGTAGATTCTTAAAACCGCGGTAGCTCGAAAAATAGCGATATGATGGAAAACTGGTGGAGGAACTTTTTGTACAGTTTTTGTCGTATAACACCATTCCATAGTCCGTGTGCGCGAACTTCGAAACACCCTGTATACCATACTAATAAAATGACATCATGCGTCTTTAGTGGTTTGCAGTGGATAATGGCAGTTAAAACACCCACTTTAGTTACAGCGACATTTCGTCTCCAGACATCCGGAATCCATTATGAAAACAATGCTCTACAGAAATTAAAAGACGCAGAAGAGCCCATAATTAATCCTACCAACTGCTTACAGACTTTTCTTTACCCATCAGACATACGATTTACTGGAAAATTCAACCCTCCAGCTTTAACACACTATTGACTTTCTATGATATCTAATTCCTAAACTTCTCCAACCCCAAAAATTTTAAGGGTGTCCCTATTTGCAAAAAAATAACAAAATCAATTCCAAATTTCGAGCTACCGTTAAAACATCGGAGCAAAGTTGGCAGAGTTCCTTGCATTTGGTACCTGATTTTACGCCACAGTCACGATAAAAATGTCTGAAGGTCGGGGGTGCCATTTCGGTAATCATTGCTGTCGGATTGAGCCTCTGTTCTGTTTTCTTTCGTCCCTATTGAGTGACATCTTTTTCCACCTCCAACCACTTCTAAATAGCGAGCTGTTTTTAAATATGTTTTGTAGTTCAGTGTAGTCTCCTCCATACAGAGCTACTAGGCACTTCGTTCTGGCATCTGCGATGACTGAATTAGGTTAGAGGAACACTTCAACCTTTTTCTTATTGACACTCTATAGTTAGTTCTTCTCAATGAAGGAAAACGCTGGGGCGGTTTCGCACTCAGCGAACGACGCGTAGAGAATCAACTCAATCCACGATTGAGGACTATTATAAGGGTTCAGAGTCGCCTCTGTCACAGTTCTGGAAATAATCATTCTTCCCAGCCTATCCCAAACCATTGAGAAGGACAAATAAGTCCACATCCTATCCAATGATTAGCACCAACTTCAAAGAAGTACTCTTGTCAAGTGCCACCTTGACGGTGTCGCAATTAGCAATGACCACGGATGAGCTTGACGATTTATAGGGCCAATAACCTCGGATGACCTTGAAAATGTATGGGGTCAATGACCTCGGATGACATAAAATGTCATCTGACACTTCAAAAATGGTGCCAATGACCACGGGTGACCTTGGAAATTTACGAGGTCAATGAAGAAATGCAGTCGTTGACTCTGTATGCCATTAAAATTGTAATTTGACACCCCAAAAATTAAATACGGTCACCGCCCACGTGGCACGCGACTTTCACATTGATCTAATTTCCAAGTCACCGCCACGTGACCTTTATCTACTTTCCAAGGTTATCGGCAGGTGGCAAGCGCCCTTGAACTGAGTCAGAATCGCCCCTGTGTAACTACTGTCAACTGCTGCTTTGTCGTAATTCCCTGGCTTCGGGAGGTGGAGCATATCGTAGTAATCAGTCGTCGTTTGTTGCTGTCGTTGACCAATAACGTCTTCAGTCAGACGCACCGCCAGAACTCTGGAAGCGGGCAGCTTTGAACAATGTCTCGAGCTGCCATGTAGAGGTGTTAATCGAAAGTAGAGCCGTCACGAAGGTGCACGACTGGTAGGAAAACAGCCTTGGAATGATGGAATTTAAGGTTTCCTGTAACCTGCTCCATGAACACATTCCAACCTGGTACTGGAATGTGCGACCACTTCCCTTAGAACCATAGCAAGTCTGATGGTGATGGCAGGATTTCACCAGCTGACAAACTAGCATTCATTCTTACATTGAACCTTTGACTATGATAAACAATCGACTGAGCAGGCACATTCAATCGTGGGAGGCCATATCGGGCAACTCAGCAGAACCTGGGTTAATGGCGCCCATCGCATGAAAAGTGTTGACATCGACGTCGGAATTGTCAAACTTGAACTGTATGGAAGATCTTTTTCCAATGGGGGGGAGTAGATTCTCCTCGTGTTATGGCTGAGCTTTCGATACGCACAAGGCACCACCCCTGTAGAAATCGTTTATTCTGCAGTAGGCCACGCTTCTCACCCACTTAAATTAAAGAAGAATTAAAAAATTAATTAAATTACAAATTTTTCTTTCTCGAATGAGTAGATGACCAATGTATATTCTGGACCAGGAAGTGTCACACCAATAAGAGACGAGGTCCTGAAGTCACAGGCGTTCACGCCCTCCTACGCCCCTCCCTTTCGGGTTCGTAAAGCGGTTCAATAGCTTGTTCAACTGGTCCGACAGCTTTTTCGCCCGGTTCAACAGGTATGTTGGACCGCTTTACGAAACTGAAAGGGAGGGGCGTGCTCGTCTCTGATTCGCTGTGACATCACAACCTAGTCTCTTATTAATTGCTGTCACTTCCTGGTCTAGAACATACATCGGTCATCTACTCGAATGTATTCTCCGCCCAAGGAATAGAGAAAATAAATGCAAAAATCCCTTTCGGCTCGGCCGATCAGATGTAGGTAGATTGTTCGCCATTTTGTTCCAATATGGCGGAATTCTTAATTTATTTTTATTTTTTATTATCTCTCTCTAGTTCTGGGCCCTCAACAGGCTTACACGCAATTACAGTGCGCAAGATATTTATTTTTAAGGATCCTCACATCCTTTATAGTTTTGTATTGTCGTCTGTCCGTCTGTCCGTCCGTCCGTGTGCGCTCTAACTCTTTTTAAAGGTGACCGATTGTGTTGAAATTTGGTGTACAGGTACTTTGGATATTAAAGACGGACGCTATTGATTTTCAGGAAAGCTGGTTCGACAGGAACAAAAGTTATGGGACTTCGAGTGAATCGGGAATAGGAAAAACTGCGGGCTCAGTATAATAGAAATCAACATATTTTATTCCCTAGGTCATGTATCGAGTTCGGACTTTCGCTAGATTATTCCCTATGACTCTTAGATGTGTAATAATTCAATATAACTCTTCTCTGTGGTATAGGTCAAGAGTTTTAGAGCAACATGTATCCAAAATTATTCTTTACACATGAATTTGGGAGTTGTAAAAGCTTTCAAACGCATTACCTTGATGCTGAAAGAGTACATCACGTGCACATTTGATAACCGCATATGTGTGATTCAAAGATGTTAAATTATTTTTCTGAGGCCACATAGATTTTGATCAAAATATGTTAAAATCGTTATTTATGCACCAAGATCGTTGCGAAAAAGACCAAGAGCATTATCTCAATGACCAAAACATGAATTTGATCTATTTTGGGCGACCACGTGGATGTTGATCAAAACATGTCAAAATCGTTAATTATGCACCAATCTCGTTGGGAAAAACACCAAGAGCATTATCTCAATGACCAAACCATAAATTTGATCTATTTTTGGCGACCACATGAATTTTGATCAAAACATGTCAAAATCGTCATTTATGCACCAAGATTTTTTATTTTTATTCTATT